TGCGCATTTGAATGGCCAATCAGAGACAAGGAGGAATCAGAAGCAGACTCGGATGGACGGTGCCTGATGTACGGTTCTGGCCTGTGATTTGTCAGTAAAGATTTTCTGTTATACCAGACTTCCTAATAATAGGGCTCAATCATTCTACAACACTACTCGTGCATGTCAGCTACTCATGAGTACACACGACCTCTCGTAAAGCCTGATATTGGATGAACTATCTTAGATGATGTCGCTAAAAGGAAAGCAGATTTGCTTACTTTTTAAATTAGATGATGAGTTCCGCAATGTACACCTGTGTACATCAAAAAGCATGGTAAAACAAAAAATGAATAACCCGAAGTCCTGTTGGCGACCCAATTAGGGTTTTCCTGGCAGTCAAATTGCTTTAAATAATGATGCATAAATGTCATTTTTAAAAGTTTTAAACATAAATTTGGTAAAAGAAATCAAAACTATGGGTTAAGTGAGGCGTCAGGTTTCCGTGAGTTTACAAGACTGACGGGTAATAACCGTGAGGCCAGTATTTAAAACCTGAAAACTGACGCGGAATACCCTAGTGACGATGAATTAATTAAAGATAAGACCGAGGGTGCATTAAAATTTGTCTGTGTTTGTCGAGACGAAACGTCTAGGACTCCATTAGATAAACAAGTGATGTCGTAGCAACCCTATTCAACGATGAAACCCAAAGACATCCACGACAAAGGAAGTGATGAAAAGGCAGCCTAACGTGTTGAAAAAGCTAAGAATGGCACACTGTTGTATATAGAGTACTTGGAACTTGTTTTGTGGATTTCAGTATCACAAAACTCCGCTTATAGTGGTATTTGAGTTGTGAGGCAAGCTTTAAAGTTACCCAGCTCACACAAAAGTTACTTGTAAAATATTCATTGGGAACTGCGCACCTTCCATTTTTAAGTTGCATTATACCAAACAGGGGAATACTGCCATATTTTTAAGTGTACACCATGGCTTTACCTGTTTGATAATACCTTGCGTCATTAATATATCAAAATCCTTTACGGGTATACATTTTCACCGCAACGTAGGCCGTGGGGTCATCGACAATGGCGGACACCTAAAAAATGAATCCTCAAACGCCTGCGTTCTGTCGATGAGCTGATATCGAAAACCTAGGTTTTACTGTTTTACAACAATTTTTACACATTTCACTAGACTTTGATGGGATTCGACACCGAAAGTGGCCAGGTCCATAAGTCATTATGCACACATGTCGACTTCCATTTTACTAAGATACAAATTCACTCTGCTTTTAAATTTTGTGTGACTTGATTAATAATCAGGCAAGATTTCAAGGGTCCTTTCGAGCAGTGTCACTTTCTTTTTCAATTTTCTGTTTGTTTTAAAACAGTCAAAAAAAAACTAGGTTCTTTTAGACCATGATATATCACTCCTTTGTTGGATGCTGTATTCGTGGAACTTGTAGACTGATCAAAGTTGATTTACCTAGCAACGAATGCGATCACTCCCAATTTAACCGTTTATACCTAAGTTGCGAATCCGAAATGTATTTTAAAGACACTAAAAGATTTTGTTTAAGTATTTTCTTTAAGGCTAAAATCTTAATTATTAATAACAAGCCTTAGATACAATGTATAATAGCACTTTTCTTACAAACAAGTAAATATCCATGCAAGTCAGATTTGTTCCTTATTTTGTTTTCCGACCTTGGAATATTGAAAATCAGATCATCCTACTTATGTTTTAATTTATTTATCTTCCGTTAAGTATAGTCTATAAAAATGTAGAGTTAGGTTTACGAGTAAAAATCGTTAAATCTAATTGACATGCTAAGTGTTGTCTCTAATCAATGCAATATTTTTCCGATCACTTCGATCACGGTACTCATACCTTATAATAAAAGCGCAAATGTGAATAGAATTTATGACTTTAAATGTCTTTAAGCAAAGAACTTGAATTTTCATTGACTTTAAAAAATAGCATTTAATTTTCAATACAGTCTTTGGTAATTAAAAGGCATTCTGGTTCATTGGAGTCCTTTATACATATCACCAATGCTCTGGAAAAAAAATGCTTATTTATTAATCAGATATTTATTATCTTGAGTTCACAAGTGAAACAAACATATAATGCGGTATAGGATGCACTGCAATATAAGTCAAATGGATTCATATATGTGTGGATTATTGAATTATTCCGGATGACATTTTAAAAAAGTGACGT